TTGGTCTACTGTAACAAGCAGGAAAGTATGCTGGTCTATGCTGTTTTTTCAGCACGGGTCTGAGCTTGGGGTCTTTCTGCAACCATCCCAGTTCCATCTACCCAATAAAATTATCTAATATGGTCTGTGGAGCTGTTAGCCTGCTGTCACATTAGCACCAGTGGTAGTCTTTACAACCACACAATCCATGCAAATGCGTGGGGCCTCCCGCCTTTGGCAACAAAATGCCTTTGATTAGGGCCCTTGGACATAACTTTGCTTGGGATCCGAAAAATGCCAAATCCACCCAATTAGCACTAGCTTAGCTAGGGGGCTAACAGGTTATCGATTCAATATAGTTGTCTGATATGGTCTGTGGAGCTGTTAGCCTGCTGCCACACTAGCACTAGTTTAGCTATCCTCTAAAATTGTCTGCTATATTGTGTGTGAAGCTGTGAGCTATGTACCACCAGCTCCACTCTACTGTTCTTGCAAGCACTGTTACACTGTCGATGGCTTTTATGGTTTAACACCTGTTAAATAATTGAATTGGAAATAGAATTGGAAATCTAGCTTGCTTGTTTTTTGGTTAATAAATGTTACAGTGGGCTAATGTTGGAGCTTTTGTTGTGCTACTCCACGTCAGATGAAATAACAGGGTAGAGTGCTTTACATGCAGTATTGCCAAGCTAGCATAAGCTGGAGCAGCAGAGATCTTTGCAAATATCAATACGCAACAAGCTAGTTAGTTAACATGAACAAGCAGACAAATAAAAAGGAAGAGAATATTATATGATATGTATACAATTAATTAATATTTAACAAATTCTAGGCCCTTTATAAATAACCCTTTGTGTGATGTGAAAATCTATCTTGTTTATATTCTGTTTAATAATTTACAGTAGGAGCTAATGTTAGTTTTTTATTGTATTAGTCCACATCACATGAAATAACACAAAGGATTTCTGCAAAACATATGCACAAAGTATTCTTTGTCTGTCATTGGTTTGCCCATGAGGCACAGCTGTAGTTGCACCCTTCTCACCTGCATACTATACTCAACGAAATCATACAATACTCACCAAAGCAAATTGGATGCTGCTTCTCAACTACACTAATTTCATTTGTCATTTTTGCTTATACTGCCAACTTGTGTTGGCTTTAGACAACAGCCAATCCACTTATTTTTGTCTTTTCTCAATAAATTAGTGTAAACATTAAATAGGTTGAGATTAAATTGCTAATTAGTATTGTCATACATTTAAAATGTTATTTTATCTATTTGGCAAGATACATTTTAGACCAGCTTTTGGTTTTGCTCCCAATTTGCAGCAGTTTGATAAATGATTTTAAGGACAATTTTTTTCCTAAAAATGTATCATGTTGCTACAAAGAAATGGTGGTCATACCATGTATGCTAGTAAGGTTCACTGAACCATTGCTAGATCTCTTCTTGTGGCAGCTCAGTATTATTTGTAGTTAACATCCAGTATCTAAATTGGCTAATCAGCCCCTCATTAAGGCCATTTCATTCATATGGTTTTTGTATTTATTATTATTTATGTTTAATAAATATTGCAGTGGGAGTGCAGGAGGCATGGCCATTAGAGACCACTAGTTTCCTGTATAACACCTTTGGATCAAAAGCATCTGGAATCAGTCCCAGAACACCTGTAAAGTCATTAGAATTGTTTTACATTGTGATATCAACTCATCACGAAACACAAATTATTATTACGGACTACTGGACACCACCAGGAACCAACAGAAACTTTTCATGGTTTCTATATTTTTTTTTTTTATCAGGGTTAGCAACAAGTTGAGAAACAAGCAAATAAATAAAAAGAGGAAAATATTATATGACATGTACATAATTGTGACGTGTCAACAGAAACCAGACGCTCGCGGAAGTAAAAGATGCTGGCGTTTAATAATACTAGGCGAACAAACCGAAAAAGGGCAGAGCAAAAGACGAAGTCAAAAATACAGGCAAAAAGTTCCAAAACACAGATCAGTCCGTAGAGGCAAAAGCACAAAAGGGAAAAGACAAAAAGGCAGAGTCGATAAACACAAAGCAAAGGTTCAAACACGGGATAATGGCAGTCAGCATACAAACGCTCGGTAGTTCAACAGGAAACAATACCTCGCACTGAATTAGACTAAAGCCCGGGCTTATAAAGTAAACTACACAGGTGCTGCCAGTTAATATTCAGGTGATTTGGAGCGCTGATTGGAACGTAAGCTAGTGTCAGAAGTCACGTGATCTCCCATAGAATTGTGGGCAATGGAGTCCGTGTCGGAGTCCGAGGGAAGTTGCCGAGTCATGTGATCTCCCAGAGGATTCTGGGAGATGAAGTCCGTTTCTTTCAGAGAGTTCACCGAATGCGTGACAATAATTAAATACTACACTGTAGTGAAATTTATGGTATAATACTGGCAGCTGTGGTTGCCAGAATTTCACCGTAAAAAATATAGTGACAATGTATAAGACAGTATGCTTTTTTGGCAACCGTAAAATTCACTGTTGAGAACTGTTGTTCATTTACGATTAATTACTGTGAAAAAAAGCATATACTGTAAATCTGTATACAGTAAATTACATTAAAAACAACAGATATACTGTTAACATATTTACAGTCTATCAATGATAAAACACAGTACAACCGTATGACTCTTCACAGTATTTTATTGCAAAGTTCAACTTTACAGTAAATTACCGGCAGCTGTGGTTGCCAGAGTTTCATTGCAAAAAATACGGTACAACACATAAGGAATTACAATTAGTGTGCATAGATTTAACAGTCAATAACAGCTAATGATAAATCACAAAGGAAACAAAAAAATAACACAAATAATACATAAATAACATATAGGTACAGAATATTTTGATCAACTTTAAGAAACTTTTCTTGCATGATCCAATAACTTGCCCAGGATACTCACAAAGAAGTGCTGAGATGTTGAAAAAACAGCATTTGACTATATATCTAAAGAATAATCCATGGTGGAATTAATAAACATTAATAAAATAAATAAACATACATAAGAAATAGCCACTTGCCCTGGTTGATCAAGCATAATGAGTCCAGACTTGACCAAAGAAGGGGCTCAACATGGGATAGAGTCTCACACGGACATGATGTTGGATGATGACTGGAACACAGTATGTACTGTCACCAGTTCTGTATGTCGTTGACCATGAGGTGTTCACTATGGACCAGCATGACCCTCTCTGTAGCCAGAAAACAGAAACAAAGCAAAGATAGATTGATGCAGTGCTTGAGCATGATGCCCACACAAAGATAAATGCAAGGCCTTCTGTTGTTAAACTGAGCTCCAAAATATATATAGGAGAAACCTAAATTTTGCAATACAGTTTTGCCGGTCACGTTTATAATTGATAAAGTTTGGGTGTGAAAGGTAGAACAGGACATCCATCAACTTGTAGCTTAAACGTGCAGATGCCTCCAGTCAACCAGACACCTTAGCAACCAACTAATCCACCCAAATGACCACCTGGCACTATCTGGTAACCAATTACTTCGCCTTAGCAATAACCTAGAAACACCCCAGCAGCCAATTGTTACATCTTAGTATACATATACAGATTTCTCTTGTTCGCTCAACATCCGTCAATCACTAGTTTTAATGCCTGATATCTGTCAGCACTAAAATATTTAGTTGAGCTAACATAAGAATGTTTGTTGTACTAGGTACAACTAGTCTCGAGCAAAGCGGAGAAGAAGTACAACACAGGTGAACACAGCTGACGAATCAATAATCTGCCACTGTTCTAAGAAAGTGATATATGCATTATCATATATAAAGCCACTACATATTGTATCATGTCTTGAAAAGTTAACAATTCTTAAAGCTCACCTGTGTTCACAGGTAAGCATACATGAATCGGTTACACCACAAATCCTTTAGAAACAATTGCATTAACTGCCCAAACAAAATATGTAAATCTTACACACAATTCACAGATTGAGTGGAACAGCAGGTACTTAAGTATCTAAACAGTTACAATGGTGTTTACAAAAAATTACAAATTAAAATATAGCCGCAAGCGGCAATGAGCGGGTCCAAGCACTAAGCTGTAGTCTTTAAATGAATAATTCAAAATACCAGAAAAGGAGTACAATTCATGACATAACATGTAATTACAAAGTTATTCAGATGAATGACCTGAATCAAAAGACACCTGTTATTTATCTGTAGACTTTGTAGTATTGTTGTAACAACATTTTCAAAGATTTTGGGAGTTTTTGAGTTCTAAAACGCCCCCTATGGGCCAATCTGGATGAAGCAAACCACACCAGAATCTCCATATATAGACAGCTTTACAATTTAGAGATGATTGGACCAATGACTGATGAGTTATAGCACTTTAAAGTAGTAATAGCTGCAATGATCATGTGATGGAGGGAGACCACAATGAGCAAAAAGGTAAAAAAAAATTTATGCTTATTTACGTAGAGAGGTTACAGAGTTTTTACAATTTAGAGCGTTTGATTACTGTGGAAACACTCCCCATGTGTGCTGTTATTTAAGAAAAACATTGATGTACCGTTTGATATTATTTAAAAGCTTTAATTTTTAAAACTGAATTTGTAAAATGTTTTTTTATTGTAATACAGAAATTTAACTTTGTAAAGATATTCTTGTCTGTGTAATGTGGTTGGAAATGTCTTAGTTTGCCTTTTTTGTTTCTGAACAGAGTGAATGCATCACTGTTTTATTTCTACAGAGGTGTAAAAGTCATGGTTGCAGAGATGTAACATTTACACAATTTCTAACAATAAGGTTTAATAAATGGCAAACCTTACTTTTTGCTGAAAGCATGTATCTTTAATGTACATAAAGTCGTGTCTGTTTTATAGATTAGTGAAGGTCAGAATCTCAGTGAAAATTAGTGAAAAAGTAGTTTTTAGGAAGAGATTTAATAACGTTTGGTGAAAGACGCCCTTTGAAGTTCCAGAACAGTCTATGCCTTAGCCGTGCTTTTATTTTGAAATGATTTTAAATCAAAGACGTCAGCATTTCCTGAGAAGTACTGGAAAGCGCTTGAATTTCTCACTGAGCCACACTGTTTGAGCGGAGTAACACGAGGCGAATCTAAGGTTTGTTTTAATAAACGCGGATTCAGGTTGTTGGTAGTAATGTCGAACCGTGCTGGGTATAAAGTGTTACTGGTGTGAGTTTCTTACGGAGATGTCGTTGGATTCTTTTCAGTGGTGACAAACCTGTAGTGATGCACCGTGAGAAAATGGCCGCTTTCGCCCTGCCCAGCTAAACGGTCTCGGGCCCGCCGTACTTTTCTCTTTCCGTCTGTTTCCGTCTTTCCGTCTGTAGCTAAATCAGAACCCTGAAATAATCGAGGAAACTACACAAAGGAATGGCCGCTCACATACCACCCACCCCGAAACACGTTTGATTCCGTCTGTCGGTGATTCGCATGTCCTTATCCTCTAAACGGGTGGTTTTTGAGCATCTGTTACTGAAAGTGACTGTAAAGACTGTACTGCGGTGGGTTTTACTTGTAGCTGATAAACTACATTAGCATTAGCATCGCCCGGCAGGGTACAGCCCAAAGCACATAGAACAGTTATTTACAGCTATATTTCTGTCACTTAAACAGCAGCCGTTTGAGTTAGTGCTCTCAGATAAGCGTCCTTATCCTCTAAACGGGTGTGTTCAATTATCCGTTCGCTAGAACTGAGCCCTCATAGCGGTGGGAGGAATCGTGCACTCGTGTTAGCTTAGCCTAGCGGGCCACAGCTTAAAGAGGCTGGCAGAGGTCAACTTCATCCTCTTTTCCACAGCGGTTTGTGAGAAATATTAGTTCCTTTCGATTGATTTTAGTTCCTCGTTGGTTTATAATGTTTTTTTACTGCATGGAACCGGGACTGTGGAGCCGTGCGGGCCATATTGAAAAGGTTTTTGTAGAAAGGTTGAGTTTTCACAGCAGCCAGCAGCGTTTTTTTACAGGCTGGTAAGGAAACGAACTCAAATAGACTCCTGTATTACACAGTCCACAGAGTTCTTTGTTCCGGATTTAATGTTTCTGCAGAGACAGTATTTTGCCTGTACATTACACTGATGACTCAGTTTTAATCATTTGCGTGTGTAATCAGTGTAAAACAGTACTGATATTGTTCCTCACTCCACATGAAGAAATGATTGGAGCAATTATTACTTAGTGTTTCAGTAGTATAACTTGCTTCTAGACTGGCCAAGGCTGATTTTTATCTATGAATTAACTACGACACATAAATTATAAATATGGCATTATGAACTGTATACAATTATGCAAGTCATAGAATAAAGATGACATCAGGCTGCAAATAAAAGATTTTCTAAAAATGATTTTCTAAAATACTGTTTGTGTGAAATGGTAAAATAACATATGAAAAGTTTGTGACAGAAATTATAAAAATACATTAGGTCAATAAAAAGTCATTTTAGTAAAAGAGTATGAGAAAAACAAACTCAGATTTATTTGATGATTTATGTATTCAATTATACAGTATTTAATAAACTGATTTATTTACTGTTATTTGTTAGTTTGTAAATAGGTTCTGCTTGTGTGTGTGATATAGGATGTAAATTCAAGATTCATTTCAGTTAGAACACAGACTGAAATGACGTTTTATTATTTTACAAAGTTAATGTCACTGTCCTTGTGTTTTGTGGTGAAATATAAATAATATGGACAGTAAATAAGTGAATATTGAACGTTTATCATGTGATCTTTGTAATATCTAATCTTATGGTTATAATAAAGAATGTTGTCATATTTTTTACCTGTTTATTTTGTGCACTTAAGAGCTGTATTTGCAAAGGTATTTTATATGGTATATTTCTAATATTATAAATATATATGTTCTCTATGTGTGGTAACACAATGCTTTTTTTGATTTACAGTAATATTACATAGATCTCTGGTTTTGCTATTTATCAAGTTTATTTTTTGATGCTGTTGTAATGTTTTTTTTTTTTCTGATACATATTCAGGTTTTACATTTATGATGCATGATCTGTGTGTGATTTTCAGATGCCACGTACTAAAGCTTCAAGGAGGTCTGAAGCAGCAAAGAGGAGACTAGCCTTGCAGGCTAGTCAGACGGATAAAGGTGTGCCGCCTTTTAAAATAAAGGCACTGTCAGAGGACGATTGTGACTGTCTAACTGCTCAGAATGACACCCAAATAAACTCTCCTAACAAACTCTCGCAACCCATATTCTCGCAACCCAAAGTCTCGCCAAGCAAAGTCTCACAAACACGGTTCCCATTGCAGGTTGAAACACGTTCTGAAAATGTGTCTGTAAACTTGTGTGCAGACTTGCCTCAGATGTCCAGTATAAGAGGTTCCTTTCATCAAGGTGATGCACGATTTGAAACTGTTAGTAGAAACAGTAAACAGTGTGACTGCCATAATGATGTGCCAAGTTAAGAATGTGCTCAGCTGGTCAAAAGAAGATCTGGATGCTATCTTGGTGCATGGTGATGCATTGTACAACTGTTTGAGAGCTCAAGGCAAAGTTCATGATCGTTCAGGTTATTTGTACATCAGTGATTTGCCAACAATGCATACGCTGTGTGATTATGAATTCAGTATGAGATATGAGGATAATTCTTTTGTTGGAGTTTTTGGTGATGACGGTCAGTTTGGACATGCTCCAGATGTTATCATGTCATGTGATGAAGCAGTAAAGAGAGTATTTGCAAATTACAATGCTTGCTTATTTACAGTTGCTGTGAATACGTGTGCCATTGTTAAAGAGAGAGATTGGTACATATTGATTGATTCACATTCCCGAAATGTCGATGGTTCATTTGCTGATGAGGACTTGGGTAGAAGCCTAGTAGTTTACCATGCCAACATTGAGTCATTATTGGAACATGTAACCACTCTAGGCGTGTCAGTAAGAGGAGTTGATAAACAGTTTGAAGTCGTTGGAGTTGTAGCACATGCAAGTGTCAGAAATCAACATGAACACAGTGATGTTCACTCAGACTACACCACAATGCCAAAAAGCAGTTATGAGCAGTGTACCAGGGACCAACAATCTAATATCTCAACTAACAGAAAATCCCAAGTATTGTCTAGCCAAGAATCAAAAAGAATTCCTAGCAATACTCAGTCATCACATACCATGGCTACTGGAAATGTGAAGGTCCATTACTCCATCTTTGTGCAACAGCTGTCCGCAAATGTCTATAGAAACTTGCAAAGCAGAAATACACAGTAAGACAGGTGTTGAAACTATACCAAATACTGCTATCAATTGGTCAAACCATGAAAGTGGAAATGAAGTTGACTTCATCAGTGAAACATGTACTGCTTCCTTTCAATTCAATCCTTTGGCAGAGCAGCAGCAAAAGAGCATTTGTACGAAACTGAACATTGTACACTATGATCATGAACAGTTGGCTCTGAGTACACCAGTGTCAGTGGGTGAACCATGTCAAACGCAGAGTGTCACAGGAGATGGAAATTGCTTTTTTAGATCGTTGGCATTTGCAGTTAGTGGGAGTGAAAAAGAGCACAGAAAAATTAGACGGGCTGTTGTTACACACATGCAGAGAAATTAAACAGTTTATGTGAAGTATCTCAGAGAACGTCACCAGACTGTTGCAGAATATATTTCTGAAACAAGAATTAAGTATGTCGGAACCTGGGCCACAGAGGTTGAAATTCAAGCTTCTGCTGACGTATTTGGTGTGGACATATTTACTTACACCCAGAACAAATGGTTAAAGTATTCACCATGTTCTCGTTCCAGTAGTCGTTTCAATAATGAAGCAGGAATTTATTTGAAACATTGTAATGATTCTCATTATGAAGTAGTCACCTGTGTCAGAACTAGTACAAGTGAATGTGCTGAGGTGTGTCCTCACAATATTGGAAACAGAGTATCCACAACTGCATCGAGTAGACGTGAACTTGAATGTCGGAAAAGACATTATGACACAAATAAAGAATTTAGGGATGATAAAGTTCAGAAAAACATGAAACGGTATCATGAGGATGAGGTTTATAGAGAGTATATTAAGAAACAGCAAGCTGATAAATATAAATCAAATGCAGAATATAAGGAAGAAAAGAAGCAAATGAGCTTGAATAAATATTCTGTAAATCTGGAACATAGGCAACACATGAAGGAACTGAGCGTACAGAAATATTCCACAAATCCAGAACATAGGCAGCACATGAAGGAGCTGAGCGTACAGAAATATTCCACAAATCCAGAACATAGGCAGCACGTGAAGGAGCTGAGCGTACAGAAATATTCCACAAATCCAGAACATAGGCAACACGTGAAGGAACGGAGCATACAGAAATATTCCACAAATCCAGAACATAGGCAGCACGTGAAGGAACGGAGCATACAGAAATATTCCACAAATCCAGAACATAGGCAGCACGTGAAGGAACGGAGCATACAGAAATATTCCACAAATCCAGAACATAGGCAGGATGTGAAGGAGCTGAGCGTACAGAAATATTCCACAAATCCAGAACATAAGCAGCACGTGAAGGAGCTGAGCGTACAGAAATATTCCACAAATCCAGAACATAGGCAGCACGTGAAGGAACGGAGCGTACAGAAATATTCCACAAATCTAGAACATAGGCAGCACGTGAAGGAACTGAGCATACAGAAATATTCCACAAATGAAAGTTACAGAGAAACTGTTAAAGAGAAGAGTTTTGAATTATACCACAATGATGAAGTTCACCAAACTGCTAAAAAACAAGCCAGTATGGAGCGGTATAAAACGGACAGAAGTTATGCTATGATAACTAAATGCAGAAGTGCAGAAAAAAGGAAAAGAGAAAAAGAACAAAGGAAAGATATTGATTATGTAATTGAACAGTTCAGAGAAAAAGTAAGCACGGGTCCTGAATACGTATGTGCTGTTTGTCATCATACATTATTCAAACACCAGGTAATCAAATGTAAAAAGATGAATATGTCAGAAGAGCACACATGATTAAAATTTTGGCAGAAAAGTGTATTACAGACACATATTTACATACATGCTCTGATGTCTGCAATGATGATTGCAAATTGAAATCTGGCCATGCTGGTTGTCTGTGGATCTGCTACACTTGTCATAGAAAGATTCTTAATGGAAAAATGCCAGAAGAGAGTGTTACAAACAATCTTTCCCTGGAGCCAATTCCTCCTGAGCTGCAGATGCTGAATTCACTGGAGAAACATCTCATTGCATTGCATATCCCATTTATGAAAGTTGTGTCTTTACCAAAAGGAGGGCAAAATGGTGTTCATGGTCCTGTCACATGTGTTCCTTCTAACATTACAGATGTTGTTGAAGCTCTACCAAGATCAGAAAATACTGACTTCATGATTCGTGTGAAACTGAGGAGGAAATTAACTTATAAAGGACACTATGAATATGAATTTGTACATCCAGAAAGATTAAGAATGCTTTGATGTATCTGAAAGAGCATAACAAATTTTACTGCGTTGTGCGCTTTAACACTGATTGGACCAATCCATTAAGTAAAATTAACTCTGAAGATGATGTATGTCAAGAATACGGCGATGTGGAAAATACTGATAACAATTTTGGAGATGAGAACATTGATGAAACTTTGCATGACAGACAGCAACATGGTATGTTTATGGATACTTGTCTACAACCTGTTGATATCGCTCAGGAGATTCTGGATCAACACTTTGATAGCATCCTTTCTGTGGCCCCTGCAGAACAGAACAACCCAGTCAGATTACTAACTGATGAGTCAAATGAAGCTAAATGTTTTCCAGTTCTTTTTCCAAATGGTAGAGGTACCTTTCATGATAACAGACCAGAGAAACTAACACTGTGTAGATATCTTAATACAAGAATACTCAATGCAGAAGGACGATTTGCAAAAGACTTGGATTTCATTTTCTTTGCACAATACGTGTCAGAGCTAAATCAAATTATATCAAATGTATCAATTGCCATGAGGAAAGGATATGAGTCTCACCACAAAATTGATATTACTTCAGAGATGTTGACAAACAAAGAGTCCTTGCACAGGATTTTGAATTTTGATGAAGGCTACACATTTTTGAGGCCCATAAGAGGAACTCCTGTGTTCTGGCAAAGTGTCCAGAAAGACTTGTTTGCAATGGTTAGACAGTCGGGTATTCCTACTTGGTTTTGCTCATTTTCATCTGCTGACTTGCGATGGCCAGAGCTCTTACAAAGAATCCTGAAACAAGAAGGAAAAGAGATAGCCGCTGATGAACTTGATTGGTCAGAACGATGTGCCCTGTTAAAAACTAACCCTGTGACAGCTGCTAGAATATTCAACCATCGATTCCATTGCTTTCTTAAAGATGTCATTATGTCAGAAGCAAAACCCATTGGCAAAATAATAGATTACTTTTACAGAGTTAAATTTCAGCAGCGTGGCTCACCTCACACTCACTGCTTGTTCTGGGTGGCAGATGCACCACAGATTGATAAAGATGATGATGCTGAAGTTACAGCATTTGTTGATCGCTATGTAACATGTGAAATGCCACCAGATGATGACACAGAAATGCATGATATTGTGTCAAGTGTTCAACAACACAGCAAGAGGCATTCAAAAACCTGCAAAAAAAAGGGAACAGCATGCAGATTTAACTTTCCACGTCCCCCAAGTAACAGAACATTTATCACAAGATATAAAACTGAAGAAGGTGAAAAAGATGATGATACGAAATCGGAAAAAGATTCTGCAAACTGTATCAACCCTCGAATGGATCCAGATTTAGCAGAGATCATACTTAAAAAAGTAAGAGATGCTTTGTTGAATACTCAGACCAACTTTGATTCTGCTGATACTTTGTTTACTTCTGTTGATATAAATCAAGAAATATTTGAAGCAGCTTACAAAAGAATGACACGAAAAACGAATGTACTTTTGAAGAGAAAGCCACAAGATGTCTGGGTGAATCAGTATAATAGAGATCTTTTAAAAGCTTGGAATGCAAATTTAGATATCCAGTTTGTGGTTGATGCATATTCCTGTATTGTCTACATCATCTCCTACATATCTAAAGCAGAGAGAAAAATGGGATTGCTATTGTCACAAGCTCAGAAAGAGGCTTCAGAACAAGGCAATGTTGATGCTAAGCAAGCTTTACGCAAACTTGGCAGTGTTTTTCTGCATAATCGTGAAGTTTCGGCTCAGGAAAGTGTTTATCGCCTTACTAATATGAAGCTGAAAGAAGGATCTCGGAAAGTGCAGTTTGTCCCAACTGGAAATGTAATTAGGATGAGTCTTCCACTCAATGTGATTCAAAAGAGAGCTGAATGTGCCGATGAAGACAGTCAGAACATTTGGATGACTAGTATCACTGAAAGATATCAAGGGAGACCTAAAACAGAAGAATTTGCTGAAATGTGCTTAGCAAGTTTTGCATCTGAGTATAGAATATTGGCCAAATCTGAAAGTTCGTCCACTAACAGTGTGAAGTTGGCCAAAGGATTAGGTTTTGTAAAGAAAAGGTCACGTACAGACGCTGCTATCATTCGATATCCTCGCTTTTCATCAACAAAGGATCCAGAGAAATATTATCAAAGCATTTTGCAGCTGTTTTTGCCTCATTATTCAAACAGTCAATTGAAACCCTGCAATTTCAACTCTTATAAGGAATTTTATGACACTGGCTTTGTGAAATTTTCTGATGATGAACTACATTCAGTAAAATTAACGGTGGA